CCGTGAGTCACTGGCAATGGCGTAGGCTGCAGTGGGCTGCCGTGAGCTACCGTGACCAGGAGGCAGCTGGCGTGAGCTGCCGTGAGCCACCGTGAGCGGCCGTCCAATGGCTGGCGAACAACTTCCTCACCTGGGAAGAGCGCAATGATAATACCAACATGGGCCAGTGAAGCGACGTCCTCCACAAGTAGACTGAAGAACAAAAGGACAACAACTTGCCTGTCCCCCTTCCCCGATTCCCCAATGCTGCTCCCTGCCCCCAATTCCCTAATAAAATCTTAAAAAAAAAAAACAGAAAAAGAAACAGTGTTTATTCCTCACTCTCACTAGATTACAGAGGAGGGGAGAAAGGGGGTGGGATCCTTTGAGACGACTACAAAAGAACTCTGGCGGCTCAGGTGTACACCCTCACCTTCTCAGCAGCCCCTGAGCAACGTTGCCAGGCCAGCGGCTGGGCTTGGGGCTGCAACAGGAAGAGTATGGGGTAGGCTGTGCACCGGGACTGTGTCCCCCAATGGTAACTACTGAAGCTTCGCCAGTTATCTCCTCTGAATCACCAATGTCCTTTTTTAAAATGGAGGTTAATTCAAAGATACTTTCAGCTTGTGTTTTCTGAAGTACAGCCAGTATAAATTATACATAAGTAAAAAAAAAAAAAACTTTGATTTGGGACAAGCAGCCAGGAACTTTGATGGCATTTCCTAGCCACACAGGTCTGTGTTTGGGCTTTGCACATTTGGCTTGACAGAGTGCCCTTAGACTGTGGGGCACTCAGCGCTGGGAGACCATGAATGCGAGCCTGTTCTAGGCATGGCTCAGGGGCTGAGGACATGCTAACAGTCAGTCAGGAATGGCCACTTTATGGATTTCCCACCATTTTTGAAACTGCATGTATCTCGTAAAACACCTCCAGTGAGAACTACTGGGAGACCGTCTTCGTTCATGGGGCCCTCTTCTGAGGCAGCTGAATTTATGAGAAACTTGACTCCTCTCTAACTGTGATAAGAGAGGCCCTCAAGGAAGACAGGCTCTTTTGCGCAACCAGCCAGACAAACATTTGCCTAGCCCACATCACACACTGCAAGGGAGACATCTTCATAGCCAAGGGATCTGTGAGATTCTCACAGAGAGAACACTACAGCCAAGGTAGGTGAAGAAGAAAGCTGCCTTTCTGTTTGTTCTGGGAAGGCTGATTTGGGCAAGAAACAGGGCCATGTCCAAGTTCCCTTAGTGGGCCAGGGCTTTACGAAATAGAATGAAGTCAGAAGGCATGGGAAGGGCTGGCCGAGCGGCGCGTTGGTTAGGAGTTGGCTTGGGACGCCAGCTCTGAGCAGCAGGGCCCTGGTTCGGATCCCACGTTAGGGCCAGTGATGCTGCGCCCTCTACAGTTAAGATGCTGAACAATAGCTCGACCTGGAGCTGGGCTGCCGTGAGTCGCCAGCGATGGCCTAGGCTGCAGTGGGGCTGGTCAGCAGCTGCTGTGAGCTTTTATGAGCTGCTGTGAGCCGCCCGGAGCAGCCATTCAATGACCAGCAAGCGACTGCCTCACCCGGGAAGAGCGCAATGATAATACCAACATGGGCCAGTGAAGTGACGTCCTCCACAACTAGACTGAAGAACAAAAGGACAGCAACTTGTCTGTTCCCCTGCCCCGATAAAAATCTTTAAAAAAAAGAAGGCATGGGAAACAGTATAGCTGCCACACAGCAGAAGCCCCTGGAAAACCTGGAGGTTTACAGGAGGGGCCTGCTGCTGTGTGATAATAATGTTTTGAATGCAGGCCCTCATATCCACTCTAGCCATTGAAAAACACATGACAAGCTTTGGCACCACCACCGTCAAAATAACTAACACCTATATGGCTCTTACTATGTGCCGCTTGACATGCATTATTTCATTGACTTGTCCTATAGTTAACTAATACTGAACTTTAGAGATGAGGCAACTGAGGCACAGAGAGATGAAATGATATGCCCGAGATCATATTGTTAATAAGTGGTAGAGCTGGCCTGGTCCCAGACTGCCTGGTTCTAAAGCTGTACACCACATAATACTTCCTCTCTCTGCAGTGACTCCATCTGTGGCAGATAGCAATAGCCCCTAATCCAAATCCCAATCTCATCCATTCAAGCAGTAGTTATTGAGCGCCTTCCATGTATCAGGCGTTGGGCTAGGTACTTGGAAAGCAGCACTTAACAGACTGAGTCCCTGTTGCCATGAGATTCAGAGTCTAGGGGTTGGAAGGAGGCAAGAAACACATCAATATAGAATATGTCCAGTGGTGACAAATGCTAAGAAGAAATAAAACAAGGTAAGACAGAGGGTGACAGGTGGGGGTTCTATTTTTTAAATATTGGGTTGTTGGAAAAGTCATGATGTGTTTTTTCTGTTTTTCGTTGCAAAAATGCGTCATGACTTTTCCAACCACCCAACAGATTGTTCGGAGAAGACCTTTATGAAGAGAGGGCATTCAGATGAAGATTTGAATGAAGAAAGGGGAAGTCATGTAACTATCCAGGGAAAGAGCATTTCAAGGAGAAGGGGGGGAAACGGGCAAAGGGCCCGAGGCAAGATTGTAGTTGGCATGTTCTACAAATGACAAGGAAAGCTAGACTGGAGTGAGTGAGATGGGAAGTTGTAAGACATGAGATCAGAGAGATAACAGGGGCCCAGACGAGGTAGGGCCCCATTAAAACCTTTGGATTTGATTCCAAGTGAGATGGGAAACTATTGGAAGGTTTTGAAGAGTGCTGTGATATGACTTTATTTTAATGGTGTCACTGCGATTGATATCTTGAGAATAGACTGAAGCGGAGGAAGGGAAGAAGCAGGGAGAGTAATTAGGAGGCTACTGCAAAAATCCAGGGGGTAGATGGTGGCTTCTTGGACCAAGACGATAGCCGTGGAGATGGGGAGAAGTGGTCAGATCTTGGACATATTTTGAAGGTAGAACTTACAGAATTTTTCGAAAGATTTGACATCAGATATGAAATAAAGAGAGGAGTTAAACATGACTCCAATTTATTAGAAGGATGCAGCTGCCACTTTCGAGTCTTGCTACAAAATGAAGCACAGAAATGGGTCAATAGGCCGAGAGTTGGTTTTATCTCGGGTTGGGTTTTACCAGGCAAGCAGGATAGAGAAAGTGAGCGACTATGGATGGATAGTACTTACAAGAGTGATTGTAACCACCCCGAGTCAGTGCATTGAGATCCAAATCAAAGAGTTAAAGAGCTAAAGTTGGCAGAATTGTCTGTGCATGAAGAGCCTGGGGTTTTGACTAGTCTGAGAAGTCAGATAGCTCCTCTGAATCCCACTTACCAATGCAAATTCCCCAAATGACTCAAGATCAGTCATTGCTGCTCCTCCTCTGAAGTACTCAACACGCTCTTGGACATCACCTCCCTCCCCACCTCCTTGTGCCCTTTTTAACAAAATCTTCTACAGCATTTCCTTTAGTATGTGCTGCTACCACACCCCCTCCCACATGTTTACTTAACTCACAAGTCTCTGAGAAAATCACGTCACATGACTGGAAAAGGAATTTCTAGGAGAGAAGTAAATTCTACCAAGTTGAGTACATCAGATATATACCAATTCCCCACTGAAAGCCCAAAAGGAAAGCCAGAGTGATGGAATCTGGAAACGGGTGAGGTCTTCTTCCCCTGTAGGCAGAGGCCCTACTTGGCTGCCATGTACACAGTGCCCCACTTGGAAGCCTGTGCATCCTCCAATGAGAGCAAGGCATTCAACATGTGCTCTCAGAAACCGCAATAGAGAGCTCTTAAAATCAATCGGACCCTGGTCTATTTGCACATTTCCAAAAGGTGATGAGGAGCCCTATCAATGCACACCCAGCTGTCAGGGTGACTTCTCCATGAGGCACAGCAGGCCTAGGGCCCACGAATATTTTTAGGAGCCCATGAAAATGCTGTTCGCTTCTTTTAAAATTGTAAGAAAAATGAATAGTGATGAAAAGGAATATCTGAAAATGACTCCAGCTTGGATTACATTTGTTTTCAATACCGATGCAGTCACAAAATGTTTTTTCATATTTTTCTGGGGGAACGGGCCCATGATGGCCAACGTGTCTAGGCTCCATGAAAATCACACTGCAGACCTTGTCAGCTTAACTTCTATGGCTTTCTCCAAACCTGGATATTTTAATGAGCATATTTTGACATAGCTCTTGAAATAATTGTTTTGAGATAGAAGACTGCATCTTTTAAAAATAATACCTTAAAGAATATAGTCATTAGTATTGTAGTAACTGTGTATGATATCAAATGGGTACAAGATTTACTGGGGTGATCATTTTGTAAGTTACATAAATGTCTAACCACTATGTTGTAGACCTGAAGCTAATATCTTGTATGTCACATGTAATCGAAACATAAAACAATTATTTTTAAAAATAAAAAAAAAACAAATAGTGTACGCAATAGACAACCCTGATATTGTTAAGGGAGGGGGAGAGGGATGTGGCTAGACTTCATCTATCAGTCTCTGGCCCCGCCCCCGATCACCAGGTCATCCATATTGGTTGAGAGGAGGCTGGTATACCTACATGGGACATGCTTTATCATATCACAAATCCTTTGGTGCTCCTGCCCTTGTCGGGCCAATAGTAATAGTACTATTGGGTTGTCGGAAAAGTCATGACGTATTTTTTCTGTTTTTCATTGCAAAAATGTGTCATGACGTTTCCGACAACCCAATAGTAGTATTAACAGTAATACTGTTAATGGTGATAATAGCAAACAATTGTGGCACTCGGATTGTGTATCAAGCAGTAACCTAGCACTTAATGCAATGGAGTAAACAATGAAATAGGTGAAGAGCTTTGATTAAACAGTGTTCATTTTCACATTAAACTTCTAAGAAAGGGGTGGCAGCTTCTTACTCGACAGTGACTTGCCTTCAGCAAACATGATCACTTGTCTAAGTGTATTAAGAGCATCAGAGCAATGTCTTTCAGTAATAGACATAGGGAACCCCACCTGCAACATGCTCACCATTCCTCAGGACCACATCTTCACTCTGGCTCAAAGGACTCAGTTCCTGGGGGTTCTTGATATTGCTCAGAGCTCTGGAGAAGTGTTCATCCACGACGCTGCTGATGTCCCCTTGGAAATAGGTGAAAATGACACACCGGGAATTCCATTCAGTCTTTATAGGCCTCTGCATCGAGCCAGCATTCATCTTCATTTCTTCCATTGAGACACAGGTGATTGCTGCAGATCACATGCAAAATATTACCGGCAATATATTTCCAAGGGCCGTGGCTATAGTGGGCATGGGCAGCATCCTTGGGGGCAAGCAGTTTGCTCCTACTGAGTACAGGCTCAACAACCACGCTTGCTGGTCTGAGGACAAGCTAAGGCACCTCGTCTGATCAGTGTTCAGGAAACAAGACAGCTCTACAAAGTGCTAAAGGGGCCCTTCCAGACAAATGAGAAATATTATCAGTTAACATGATTGAAGATCATCAGAAAATGGAAAAAAAAGGACAATGAGGCTGAAACATGGAGTCACTTCCTTCAGGGGAAGCGCCTTCCTCCCCCCAGAACTATATGTAAATCCCCCTGAGCAAAGGGGTGAGCTCCCCTGTAGAGCTGGCTAAGTAATCCAGCAGGTATTGACAATTTCTGTTTTCATAGGAAGTACTGCTTTCCATCTTGACCACTTCCATGCCAGATAATAAAACACACCAAGTTCTCCCTGATGCCAGAATCTATGTGAGAGTGGCCTGCACCTACTCCCTGCCCCTTCTTAGAACCAGTGATTACAAACCACACTAGTCCTAAGGCCTCCTGACAGAAAACTGCTGAACCAAATGCAGATCTCAACACACACACACACACACACACACTTTTTACACTTATATATTGTGGCAGCATTGGTGAAAAGCACCTGAAAGATTGTCAGCTCTGCTCACCCACCATACCCTTTGCGCCCAGAACAGGGCCTGCAATACAGTAGATGTTTAATAGCTGTTTGCTGAATCGCCTTAAACCTGGCCTCCATCATTGTATCTTACCCGTGAGCTCCTTGAGGGGAGAGGCTTTCCTTTTGCACCCAGGCCAGAAAACGGCACACACCAGGCACTCGTGCTGTGACCTTCCTTTAACTAGAGAAGCAGTCCAACTGAAGCTCCTTTACCTTTGGTCACCCAATCTGACTTTGCAGTGCTCCAGCCAGAGACACCTTGAATCTATTTTTTTTTTCTGCTTCATGTACTTTATTTATTACTTTTTTATTGTTAGTTTCAGGTGTACAGAACAATGCAATAGTTATCGTTTTCACCCTCACAAAGTAACAACCCCCCTCTCCTCATCTATTGCCCTCCCCCCCATATCATGCTTATCTATTACAATTCCATTGACTCCATTCCCACTCTACTCCATGTCCCGTGACTATATGTATATATAACTATAGTTGACATACATTATTATTCAACATCAGCTTCAGAAATAGTAGATTGGACTCCTTGAATCTATTAAGTCTTGTGAAAATGAATAGAGTTGAATAGCCTGACTCCCTTCCTAGTCCACAGATGCTTCAGGATGTGAGCCATTTCTTATTCATTTCTTTATCCCTAACACCTAGCACAATGCAGATATTCAGTAAACAATGGCTGAATACCATAATGCCTTTCATGCAGAGACAGCACAATGCAAGGAAATTATACCAATTAGAGGAGTCAGAGGGTCTGGGGTTGACTTTTGTGAAACCACTTGGCCTCTGGGCTTCAGATTCCTCGTGGGTAAAATGAAGAGGTTAAAATACTTGAATTCTGCAGCCTGTTATTTTATGGTTCTGCTAGAAGCATCAACAGATTATGATGGGGACATTAGAAAGGAATCTGGCTGTGAGGGGGGGAACCTTTCTAAAGCGTTCTCCTTTCAGAGTCATTCTAGCCCCAGTCATAACTGGACAGTGTTGTCTCCAGAAGCCTTTGAGCACATCAATCTGTTTCCCCTGGCTGACAGCCACACTAAGTATAACCAGGCACTACCTGAAAAATGACTCCATTATATCCTTATTGCAAAAAAACACGTGAACAAACCACCTTGAAAAACTCTTTGGCAGTTTCGTATAAAGTTAAACATACACCTACTACATGACCCAGCAATCCCACTTCTAGGTACACAAAGCCAAGAGAAATGCAAACATATGTCCGTACAAAGACTTGTATGTGAATGTTCATAGCGGCTTTATTTATAATAGATGCGTGGTCTCATAGCACTGAAGAATGGAGACATGGACCAGAGAGGTCAAATTTGCAACAGAGTACAGTTTATTAGTGCAGAAAATAATAGCTCTCAAAACGAGTGGGGATCCCGACTGGGGTGCCCACAGCTGAGGCAGCAGCTTTATTTATAATGGCCCCAAAGTGGAAATAGCCCAAATGTCCATCACCAGGAGAGTAAATAAACTAGCTGTGACATTTTCACACAATGGAAAGTTATTCAGCAATAAAAAGGACCAAGCTGCCAGTCCACACAACAGCATGGAAGAATCACAAAAACATTAGGTTGAGTGAAAAAAGGCAGACACAAAATACCACATATTATACGATTCCACTTACATGGAACCGGCAAAAATAATATCTGGTGATAGAGGTCAGAACAGTGGCTGCCTGCGGGGCGGAAACTGTGAAGAGGCAGGAGGGAATCAGGGGTGTTGAGAATGCCCTGCATCTTATCTTGCTAAGGTAAGGGGGAAGGTTGTATGTGGATGTATACCTTTGCCAAAAGTCATCAAGCTGTACATTTAAGATCTGTGTGTTTGCTGCAGGTAAATAAAATATTCCTCAATGAAAAAGCACATGACAGACATATTCAGGTACTCAGAGTTGAAGAAATAAAGCACTGGTGTTATTCTAGAGCACATGCTGAGATAAGTCAGAGAAAGATATATACTGTACGATATCACTTATATGTGGAATTTTTAAAAGCCAAACTTATAAAAACAGAAAGTTATATGGTAGGTACCAAAGGGTGGGAGTGGGGGAACAAGACAGATGTTACGTAAGAGTACAAACTTGCAATGAGTAGTACATAAGCCCTAGAGACCTACTGCATACTACAGTGAATACAGACAACAATGTTGTATAATCATCGTCAACCTGCTAAGAGACTAGAACTTAATTATCCCAACTACTAAAAAGAAAGGATTACTGTGTAACAACATGAGAGGTGATCATTATGGCTACAATGAGAATCATATTACAATATATAAATTTACCCAATTAACATGCTGTACATCCTAAAGTTAGTTATATGTCAAATATATTTCAAAAAATAGCAGAACATTAAAAAAATAGCAGAAAATAAAGCAGAGGTGTTATGAATGATAAAGTAACAATAAATGTGGAAGCAGCACTTTTTCTAAAGCTACGGTTTACTGAATAATTACTTTGTACCAGAAAGTATACGCACATTTTCTTCAATCTTTACAACCCTCAAAATAGGTTTTATTATGCTCATTTTAGAGATGAGCAAATTGGGGCTCGGAAAACGTGAAATAAACTGCCCCCTGCCACACAGCTAGGTGGTGGCAGAGCTGAGACTTGCACCCAGGTCTCTCTGGCTTTAATGACTCTCCTTTTTCCACAGCCCCTTAATGTCTACCAGGTGGAACTAATAATGCCTTCTGCTCCGTGGGCCTCAGTCTCCCCATCTACCAAATGTGAGAGCTTAGCCTTTAATTTCTAGGGGACCTAAAGCAAGCCCCTGGTTTCCTGTAGTGAATGCAGGCAGAACATCCGTGCACTCCCTCGGGGCTTCTCCTTGAAGCCTCTCCCTGCAAGGGCTGCTTACCGCCTTTATTGGACCCTTATTCTCAAAACTGCCCATGGCCACTGCTCTAGGCTTGACACAGCTTGCAATCTATCTTTGCTAAGTTTCCCTGAAGCCATGAGAGAAGCGAGAAGCAGCAGGCCAGGACACTTGGGACCTTAGGGCCCTGAAACACATCCTAGTCTCCTTGGGTAGAAACCACAGGCCACCTGGCCACAGCCAGGAAAGGGTAGAGATAGAGAAATTCAGAAGCAACATCTTAGCCCCATCACCTTGGAAGGCTCAGACCGTAGGCAACTGGGGATCCTGAATAAATCACAAGGATGCCCTCCGCCTCCTTTTTCCTATCCAAACGCTGGAAATGCACTCGAAGGAAAGCCCTGGGCTACTGTAGGTCCCCATCCCCCTCACAAGCAGTTCTCCAGGCTGTGTTCGGTTCTCAGTGGACAGGATCTGCATTTGAGGGATGTAAAAATTCTGAGAACTGCTAGTTGGCTTAATCCTTTGCAGAACTGCATCTCCCTGCACCTCTGGAGAAACCTGAGCAGTTTCCTCCTCCAATGGGCCCTCTTTGGAGGTCAAAGTGGATCTGGCTTAGAGGAGGATGCTGCCAAGTTGGAAGTGAGGGGTATCCGTGAGGCTTGTAGTAAAAGCCTCTTGGGAACAAAACCCCAAGGCCAAGCTTTGCCAGCTGTGCAGTGAGAACAGCGTAATTGCAAAAGTACATCGTAGCTTGCAATTTCCCCCAACACACAAAATATACAGACACCAAGTGCTCCAAGCAGACCTTGAAATATTGCCCAGTCATCTGGCCAAATATTTTAACATCGAATCCAATACCAGCTGTTTGACCTCCACTCTACCCCAGTGCCTGCAGGGACACACTACCCACACTTCTGCAAAACGGTAACCAGCACCGGGGGATAGGGTGGGGAGTCAGAGAGGTTGTCACCACGATCACTTGGAACAAAAGCCCCAAAGGGACCAGATTGTATCTCACTGAGCAAAGCATGTGATGCTCACCGTTCCCCCACCCCCGCCCCCATCCCGATTCCTTCCCAGTTGAGTTTCCATCCGTTCCCCTCCCAAAAAAAACAGTCCCCAGCTTTTCTTACCTTAATTCCCAACCATCAGCTGAAACAGAGCAAGATGCAGCGGCCCAAGCTATGGCTGGGCAGAGGTGCGTTTTGATGGCCAGAGCCGTCTGGCCCCCTTCGGAGCAGCTCAGTGCTCGCGGAAGCAGAGGTTGGGGATTTTGTACCCTCCCCTCGCTGCTTTCTGCCCCTCTACAGGGCTACAGGACACATTTCCTGCTAGCTATCTATTAAGAATGCAGAAAATGCACTCCAACAAGTCAATCGGGTTGGGCACCTGCAGGAATGAGGAAAATAGGTAGCTGTTTTTTATTTCTTTCTTTTTGCATTAAAAAAAAAGGACTTAGCGATATTGTCTCTTAAAATAGGCGGTCAATTGTTTGCCCGGAAACCACACAGAGAGTCAATAACAAAACACCTGAAACATCAGTTGCGGGGTTGGAATCAAGCTGATGTCACTTTGCATCTCAGGAATTGAGAAAGTCAGCTTAATTCATCACGAGTTTCTCTCTCTCCGTGGTAAGAGAAGGGGCGCCCAGACCCCTATGATTATGGACTTGTCACAGGCCTCTCTGGCCCCAGAGGGAGTCAGGACATCTCTGAACCCGCAATAGACAAAGCAGTTCAGGGACTCCAGCTGGAGGTTTGGAGCAGGGGGGTCCACATCCTCATTTTGAAAAATCTTCAATATTACCTAAGGCAGTGACACCATCACTCAGGCCCCAAACCCTGGAGCCAGTATTTGCTCCCCTCATTCTCTGTTTCAATAATATCAACTTAACAAATATTTATCAAATACCTACTGTGTGCCAGGCACCTATTCTGGGAGTTCTGTTCTACAGTGAGCAACACAGAATACATCCCTGCCTTCGTGAAATAAATACACACATGCTATGCGTTTGTGTGCACATATACATATGAATAATATATGTATATGTAGGATAGCAATAAGTACTACAAAGAGAAATTGATTCAGGAAAAGTCAGCCTAAGAGGAGAATAGGGAGTGTGGGGTGGGGTGGGGGGTGATTTATATGGGGGGGGTGTCAAGAGAGGATTTTCTGATAAGGTGAAATTTGAGCAGAACCCTAAGGGGGGGGGAACCAACAAACTATGTTGATACCTGCTGTCCTGATATCTGAGAATATCAAATGCAAAACGTGGGATCATGCCTGCTCTGTTCACTGATGGATGGGTGAGGAAGCCAGTGTGGCTGGAGAGAGGAAATTAGGGGGGGAGATGGGGGCCAGATCACATACAGCCTCATCAGCCCTGCTAAGGCTTTTGACTTTTCCTCTAAGTGGGCAACCCTCCCAGGCCTCTCAGATCTCAGCTGGAGCATTATTTCCACAGAGAAGGCTCGATGAAGTCAGCGTTCCTTATCAAGAGATTCTCTTAGTAGCAGATTTAATTACTGCTGCAGTTGTACATTTATTAGAGAAATTACGACGTTAGTAATTTCTCTCTCCACCACTATTCATTCATTCACTCACTGATTTTGACAAGTCTTTCAGCCAGCTAGGAAGAGATGACAGTAGTCCGTTAGTAAGGAGAGAAGTCTGAGTTGGAGATATAAATTCGGGGGCTGAAGGTATATAGATGGCTATTGGAGCCTTGGGCTCTAACTCACCCAGGGAGAGTAGAGAATGAGACATAAAGAAGAACTAAGACCAAGTCTTGTGGGACCACAGCATTTACTGGCCAGGTGGATGTGATGAGCCAGCAAACCTTAGGGAAGTTATTTCTCACTTCTTTGCTCATTTTTAAAGTGAGAGTGCTCTATTAGATGATCTCTAAGGTTTCTTACAGCTGTGCTATTCTAAGCAAATCAAGAGAATGTGGAATTTTAAATGGTAGAAAATTAACAAACTGGAATTTTCATTTTTATTATTTTCAAATGCAAGTGCTCACTTTCAGTTCAAGGTGCTATAGACTGAGCCAATGTATGTAATCTCATTTTCCTTCCAAAACCCCACTAAAATGTCAGAAGAGATATAAAAATAAGTTGGGAAAAATCCAGAGCAGTGCTACAAAGCCAGAAAAGGTATCAGCAGCAAACAAGAGAAACATAATGACTGGTAGTTAGTTATTCAGTGGACTCAGAGGACCAGCTACTGCACTAAACAATGCACATGCATTAAACCACTTAAATAATTCCACAAAACAGGTACTATTATTAACCAATGTTAAAAATGAGTAAACAGTGTCACAGAGAAGTTAAGAGCTTGTCCAAGCCATCCAGTCTGACTCTAGAGTCTGTCCGTTAAATCACTGCTATGCAACCTTTCAGAAACAATAAGAAATTTCTGTAAGTTATAATGTGGAACCCACAGCCTGCTAACACAGGAATAAGAGAAGGATATTGGAGAAATCATTATGAATTGTCCAAACAGAGCCCAAGAAAAAGCTCAGAATTAGTGGGGGCTAAGAGCTAGAGTGAGTCGTGGAGGAGAAAGCAGGGAAGTTACTTAAGGGTCTGCCAAAGAACTGGGCCATTATCCAACTCTGTGCAGAGTGAGAACGTCTTTCTCAGAAAAGTACTTCTTGGGGGCCGACCGAGTGGCTCAGTTGGTTAAGAGCTCACTCAAGAGTGGGAGCTCTGAGCAAGAGCGGTTCGAGTCCCGGCCCGAGCTGAGCTGTGGCTGAGCTGCCAACAGGTAGCAGGATGGCTCAGCTTAAAAAAAAAGTACTTCTTGGGCACAGAGACGGAGCCCGGTGTGGACTTTGTCATCGGAGAGAGAAGTAGGGAGTGCCTGGGTAATTTGGGAACCACCATAAGGATATGGAGACGAAAGGCATATTGACACAGCCGTTAAACCCTCTAAAGCACTATACAGCTAATAAGACACTTTCTCAACCTCTGACTGTGGTCTGTTCCCTATCCCTGCTCCATAAACGGGAATCGTCTTGTTGGCACAACCCAACCACTAACCTGCACAGCTGTGTCACATTCAGAGAAAGGTTGTCAAGTGACTAAGGGACCTTTACAGCTGCTGAGGACCCCAAACCACTTACCAGAATGTAGCAGTCTCATCCTTCATATAAACGGTCAGTCACCAGAGACACTTAAGGGAAACCGAAAGCATGATAAACACTAGGGCGAACAAGCAAAACAAATGACTTCCGAGGCAAAAGTTAATGTGGAAAATGTTTACAATTTCTAAGTAGTATCTTGGGAGATATCTGAGAAAATATTGCACTCATGGAACAAAATTAGTCTGCTATGAAAAGAAAGTAATCAGAGAATAAGACAGATTTATTCCAAGTTGAAAAAAAAACAATTGCTGAAATAAAACAGGTAAGTAGCAATGGACATAACTGAAAACTGTCCCGGTACCTTGGAAGCCCAAGTCATGAGAGATCAATGGGGCAGATTATAAAGTACAAATAGGAATTTCATATTAAAGATTTCAAATCAGTTGGAAACAGATGGATTAGTCAACTCATGTTATCAAAATAACTGGCTATTCCCATGGAAACAAATCAAGTTAGAGGCTTATTTTAAACCCCAGTTATCCCCTTTCTCTCCCACTTCAATTTCTCCATCTCTACTGAATCATTTCTGTCATCATTCAAATATGCCCACGCAGCTCCTATTTTTAACAACCCAACCACCTCCGTGTCCTTTCCTCTGTTGCCCTGCACAGCAGCACTTGAACTTGTCCATGGTTGGTCACTCTCTCTACTTGTCACCTTTCCTTTCACTCCTAAAACCACTCCAGTGGGGCTTCCATTTTCACCACCCTGATGTCTCTGCCCTTTTGAAAGTTACCATTCACTTCAGTTGTTACCAAACCCAATGCTATCTCATCCTACCCAACCTCTAGAGGCATTTAGCAGGATTGATCCCTCCCTTTTATTCTTCCAACATTCCCTTGGCTTCTTCCGTGGCACCACTCTCTCCTGTTTTGCTTCGACTCCACTGGCTCCTTTCTAATCTCCTTGGCTCAATTTCAAAATCTTGGATTGCCTCAGGGATTCAGTAGTTCTGGTCTCTCCTTTGATTCTATAATCTCTCCTTTGATGATCCCAGTCCCAGAGTTTTGAATATCTTCTATGTAACTATGACTCACAGATTTGCATCTGCAGCCCAGACCTCTCCTCTAATAGGCATCTCAAACCTCATATGTCTAAAAATGAGCTCTTAATTCCCCCACCCCAATTTATTTCTCATGTTTTATGCAAAGGTAAATATCGTAAGGGTTAAAGATATAAACGTACAAATATAGAAATGTATAAATGGGAAATATACTACAATACATACAATATTGACCTGGGGAAGGTCTTTCCAAGTACGACACAAAGCTCAGGAGTTATTTTAGAGAAAGATTTACCAATTGACACACAGAAAACCTCTGTGTGCCTAAAATCAACGTAAAGTTGCAAGACAAAGGGTAGACTAAGAGAAAGCTCTTGCAGTGCCTATGACAAATGGTTATTTATAATATAGAAAGAACTTTTACGAATCATTAAGAAAAGGCAAACAAGCCGACAGAAAACTTGACAAAGTCTATGAATAACCAAATACAAGGTGAAGAAATGCAGATGGTCAGTAAACATTTGAATCCGCTGCTTAACTTCACTAATTATCAGGGCAATACAAATTCAAATGGGATGCCACTTGCAATGATCAGATTAGCCAAAATGTAAAAGATGCATAACACTTACTCGTCACAAAAACATGGGGACAAAAACACTTAACACATCTGTGAGGGGTGGTATGAATTTAACATTTGTGGAGGGCAATTTGGCCAAATTGATCCATTTAAAATACACCTGATTTATGATGCAGCAAACCTACTTTATGAAACCTACTTTTAAAAAATACTAAAAGATATTTAAAATTAAACTGGCGTCCGATTTATAACAAGGTAACTAGAAGTCAGCTGTGAAGTTTCAACATAAACACCCGTTCGTCTGTGCAATCCTCCAGAGAGGCTGATAACACTGTTGGCATTTGCTTCATTTAAAAACAAAACTAAGCCAAACTAAAGAATGTCAGTCTATAGAGAGGTACAGCAAAAAAAGTCTCTCTTTATTGGATGCATAGAGCATGTGGCAATTAAATGAAGCAAAGTTTTCCTGAGGAGGGGGCGAGGAAACAGGAGGTGCCCGGTGAAAGGAACTGCTTCGGTAATGTGGTGGTGAGGTGTGGGGGAGGGGAGGCATGCTATAGTCCCGAGCTTAGCGCTCAGTCTTTCAGTGAGCATGCGCGCCTCCGGAACGTGAACTTCACAGGCATTTCTCAGGTTTTTGTTTCTTTTCCCTTCCCCCTTAGGTGGGACAGGCTAGCTAGAGGGGGGCTGGAGTTGGGTATTTCCCGTCACCCAGATCAGTTAGGCTCTGATAACGTCCCACTAGGTTAGGCTCTGGTCAACTAGTTTCTCTTGAGGGCAAGGCCTTAAGAACAGAGCGCTCTGGTATATTTCAGAATAGTTCCTTTTCCCCTGCACCTGCTGGAAGGACGAGGGCATTTTTCTCAGATATTCACTGTGAGAACCTGGTCAAGCCTCCCGGAGGGAAACTCACCTATGACTGGGTCTCCTTGGACTTTCTCTCTCAGGCCGGTCCATATCCAGCCTCCAGCGGGTTGTCAGTTACACGTGGTTTTCCTGCCCTGGCGTTGCTTCCCTCAGAAGCATCCAGTAAGTTGTCATTCTCTCTATTCGTGTGTGAGTCTCTTCAGTTTGGGAGTATCAGTTTGCCCCGTGACGGGCCTTGCAAGAAATGTTAAAAGAAGCTCTTTGGAGTGAGGGAAGATGGTATGGGTCAGAAACTCGGATCAACATAAAGAGCTTCTGCAAAGGAATAAGTGAACGTTAAAAGAACCTTTCCCTTAACTTCACGTTCTCCTCCAGCATTTGCCCCATTCTCCGCTTTCCTTCGCAGCAAAAGTGCTCAAAATATTTGCCTCTAGTTGCTGGCTCCACATTCTGGCCCCTCCCTTCTCCTTCTCACCCTGTCCCCGCGGGAGCACTGCTGAAATGGTTCTTACCAAGGTCACCAACCAACCACCTGCAATCTGCCAGATACAAATGATCAATTCTCTGTCCTCATCTTTACCTCCCTGCAGCATTTGGCAAAGTTCACCACTCCGCCTTCCTGAAACACTTGCCTCTCTTGGCGTCCAGAAACCCAGAGCTCCCCTTTTTGCCCCTGTATCGCTGACCACTCGATCTCTTTTTTTTTCTCGCCCCTTCTCCTCTGTCTCACCTTCAAATGCTCACATGGCTGAGGGGTTGGTCTGGTCCTCTCCTTTCTGTGCTTTAAATATCATCTGTGTGCTGTGCCACCAAATTCTACTTTCCAGCTATGACTTTGTCCGTGAGTTGTGGAGTCATATATCCAATTGCCTGTCTGACATATCCCCGTAGATATATAGACATGCCAAACTTAATATGGCCCCAAACAGAGATGAACTCTACCTGTGAGCCTTGTATTTTCAAAACCTCGTCTCATTGGTTTTATACTACAGATCACTACTGGGTTGTCGGAAAAGTCATGACGTAGTTTCACAACAAAAAAACATAGAAAAAATACGTCATGACTTTTCCGACAACCCAATTATTACTCTCCTTCCCTTGCCCTGAATTCTGCACATCGCTCCAACAATGTGGGGCTCCTTACAGAATATACCTTTCTGATGATTATTCCCAACGCTGAGAAAGTATTTAGTGGTCTATTCTGTGCCAGCCACTGTTCCAGGCCCTGGAGAGACAGCAGAGATTAGGAGAAAGCCCTGGCTATTACGGAGTTTGCATGCTGCCAGGGTGGTGGAAGGATGGGGTTGGGGGACAAATAAGCAAATAAACAAGATGATCTATTGCCGCAAAGAGGGTTCAATAGTAAGCAAGAAGGGAGACAGGTGGTGGTCAGGATTCCTAAGCAGGTGATACTTAAGCAGTCCGAAGGATGAGAGCGAGCCAGCTTGGCTGGGGAAAGAGCATCCCAGGCTGAGGCACGTGCAAAGGTCCTGAAGTAGGAATGGGAAACCCAGATGTGGCACGCTAGGAAGAGTCCTGAGGTGCGACTGGAGAGGCAGGCAGGGCAGGATCATTCAGCTTTGTGAGCAGGCCATAGTAAGTAGTTTGGATTCTATTCCAAGTGCTACTGGAGTGTTTTAATATTGAACGCCATAAGGGCATTTTAGGCAGTGATTTCTTTAAATCGCCCTGGCTGTCATTAAGAAAATTACTTGCAAGGGGACAAGAGTGGGAGTGTGGAGTCCAGCTTGGAAGCTCTTTGAGAGATGACAGTGGCTTGTACTGCTGTGGTGCGAGTGCACATGGAGAATATTCAGATTGGGAGTGTATTTGGAGTTAGGGCCAACAGAGCTTGGGGTTGGGAAGTGAAGGAAAGAGAAATGAAAAGATGATTTCAATTTTGGGTTTGGACAGTTGGGTTGCTGAGCTGGTAAGACTGGCGGAAAAACAGGACTGTTTGATATTTAAATCATCAAGAATGGTAATGAGGTAGTGGTGAAGCCAGTAAAACCTCTTCAAATGAATGGAGTGTGCCAATGTACCCACAGGGTAACTTCATTCGTTCTACAAATATTTATTGAGCCTATTATGTGCCAGGCACTGCTCTAGGCTGCAGAAGCGGTATTGCTGAATCAATCCCAGATTTTTTTTGGCTGCTTTGTCGCAACTTAGATTACAACTGCTATCTGAGGTGGGCTCATGCCTCACGCTGCCTTTACTCTCACTGTCCCACCTCACTTAGCATATTTTGGGCACACACCAGCCCAATCCATATTTCCTAATTGACTGAACCAAATTACACTGATTCCATAATGAGTGTAAATACACTAAATCAATAGTCTAATACTACTATTATCACTATATTCCTAGCAAAAGGTAATGGGAAAGTATTGAATGACATACGAATTTTATTATCCCAATCTAAAAAGAATTTAAGAATCACCTGAAAACCAAAGTTTATACTATTTAAAAGGTAATATAAAAATACTTTAGATATCACATTTTCAAACTTGAGACGTAGTTGAGCCTAGAAATTTTTACATGAAGGTGTTGGAGGTTTATCATCATTAGTTAAGTCTAA